AAAACTTCATGTATATTCAAATGAAATATTAGATAATTTGGTTAAATTTCAGATGCGTATACTGTCATGGCAACAGTCCCGACTGTTCGCACTCCCGTCGGATTGATACATACTAGTTATTGATTCTAGTGTGTTCAAAAACTACTGTGAATCAATAACTAGTGACGTTTGGCACTTGGCGGCCTGCCGGCGACTCCCCTCCGGGAGGAGAATGTCGGGAGTACGAACAGTCAGGACTGCTGCCATTACAGTATACACATCTGAATTCAACCGATAATTCTTCTTCATCTTATAAATATAAATAACAATAAAAATTATCTAAAAGGCAGTATTTTCAAAAGATGAAAAATTTACAGACTGTACACAACAAGTGTAATAAGTTATAATAATGTATGCTTAATATTGTAGATAATTTAATAATTTTTACTTCACTTACAAAGAACGCTATGGAAAAATTATATGATGATAGTAAAGTAAGAGTTTACTTAATTAGTATAGTGAATAAAAAAAATAAAGTTATTTTATATACTCTTATAGAACATAAGACATCAAGATCTACCCTATTCTATGAAAGCTAGGAAGGCAAGCAGAGATTTCTCTTTCCTTACTTCTAAAAATAAAGGAGTGTGCCTTAAATTATCAAACAATGCTATGAATCCTAAAGCTAGGTTTTAAAGAACTCAAAAAGATCTCAATAAACAATAAACAGAAGTGACTTCTTGAAAAAGTGATTATTTTTTGGTATTTAACCAACTCACTTTTAAATAATGTAATAACTATGTAATGAACTATCAGTACGCCTTCAGTTACTGAGAAATGTTTATTAAACAAAACACAAATGTTTTCAAACATTTCTCAGCAACAACATGTATTGATAAGTCATTAAGTATTTTAAAATGCTGAGTTTGATATTTGGTTAGTAATAACTATATCTTTAAACACATTAATATAACATATGGCCTACATACTATCACATTTGTACAGAAATAAAAAACTATTTTTGAATTAATTGTACTATTTAATTACATGCTTAACTGTCTATTATTTTAGATATCCTTTAATTATAAAATAAGGTTAAAAGTCCAAACTTTTTGAATTACATTATGTTAGAATGAATTCATTTCATTTTCACATCTTTAACTGAGGAAACCTTAGTCATGTTTTTACATGTCAACCAATTTTCATTTAACCAAGATAGTTTGTTATTTTTTTTCTTTTCCTCTCTTCTTACAGTTTTCTTACCATAAAAGTAATAATTGAATAATTGAGTCATTTAGCATCTTAAGCAAACAAATTAATAGATTGTTGAGCGTGTCATTTGCAAATGGATAAACAAAGTGTTCTAAACAATACAAACTGGAAATTATGATGCTGGCCAAAAGTTTTTAGAATATATGTGTCTGAAGAACAATTTACTTTTTGAGGCAACATATTAATTTATTACTGTAAGTAAGTTGGCAAAATTCCAAAGTGAGGTATGTTCAAATGTAAGTTTATTGCATTTGTTTAAAAAAATCAAATGTGAAAAGTTTTTAGGATACTTGGAACTTTTCATTTATTCTGTTATATTTAATGTTACTTTCTTTGTTTTTGTTATAAAATAAAAATATTTGCTTTGAATTAAGTACTTTTTGTTTTAAAATGACTTTGTCAGAAGAAATAAAGCAAAAGATTCTCTCAGTTATCTGCTACAGGACTCATCATAAGATAAAACATGTCAAAAAGTAGCTGTGTACTTTTTCAATATATTATTAAAAAGTTGGAAGAAAGGCAAGTATATTGGGTGCCCAAAAGCAATGCAGAAGCATTGTGGCTGTAACAAAGTAGCAAGGGACCAAATTGTGAACAGTTAAAGTATCAAAAAAAAAAAAAAAACTCAAATTAGATGCTTCCCAACATTATATTTGTCAATTTATGGCTGACAACAACTTTACTTATGAAAAAGTGAAGACCTGCCATTGACAGATAACAATAAATACCAATATCTTGAATTTGCAAGAAACATATCAGAGAACATAACAATTTTAATTGAATTTTAGATTTTCACTGGATGATGAAATTTTCTTTAAAAAAAAATAAAAAAGATGTAGTCATTTACTAAGAAACATTTAACAGAAATATGATGATCACCCAAATTTTTGGAAACGACTATGTCTTTTTTATTGTTTATTTTTTTTTAAAGAAAATTTTAATTTAATTATATTTAGTGATAAAAAAATGTTTTTGTTTGGTTGTCCAGATAATACCAAGTCTTATTTTGAGTAAACTGCAGGAATTATAGTAGAACCTCATTGTAAAACATGTCAGCAAGGTGGTGATTATGTAATGATTCTGGGTGCCATAAATAGTAGGAAATAAAAATTGATAATCAAATTCATTGAAGGAAAGTATAATGCCATGAAATACCTGAATGATCTGAAAACAGCATTTCTATGTTTTTGTGAAAATTGTTTTACACAGGGAAGTGGTTTTGGCAGAAGATAATGCTGCAATCTGTACAGCTGACATAGTTAGACATTACTTTTAAGAGAATAAAGTCCTTATAATTAATTGGCCAGCTTATAGTCCTGACTTGAACATTATAGAAAATGTTTGACATTTAATGAAACAGAAAATATATGAACATGGACAGTTTAATATTGTGAGTTTTAAAAAAACATGCAATTCAACATTAGGCTGATAATTTCGATGCAATTGCGATTATTGTAAATGTTTATAAATCAATTCATCTACATTAAACTTACTACACCAAGTGAGCATTTGCTGAAACAATTTTTTATTAACAAATGTCTTTCTAGGTTGTTAAATATTATAGAGAAAAAAGGCAGAAAGCTTACTAATTGTTAATTTAGTATGAATAATTTTCTTTACCATTAGGGAAGAAAAACTATTCTAAAAATTTTTGTCCACATGATTTTTTAGAAAACTCAAATAAATATCAAATTATAACACATCTCACTTTAAAATTCTGTTGACTTACTTATAATAATAAATTTGTGAGACTAATCGGGGGTAGGATGTTTACGAGGATGTCCCTCTCCTACCACTTACTCGACTCAAGACCTCGAGGTCCGGTCTCGCTTGTCTAAAGGATGGGAAAAACGGGTTAGGAGAAAGGATCGTTAGATTCTTTCTCCTGTCTGACACCAATCTATCTATTTATCGCGGATAGATACGCGGTTAATTCGATGGGGAATTATCACGAGCGATCTCGTCGAAAGCTTCGGTTTGAGTATGGAGTGGAAATTGTCGGAAGAAACGCACACCAATCCAAGTTCATTAATAAAATACCCGTTTATTCCGGTTATTCCGTACATTTAGTCCATTACACTTAGTTAATTATTTAAGGAGTCGAAGGTACAGATCCCTGGCCTCGGGAATTTCAATCCGTATAGTTCATTTGTCGCGACCCTAACCGCGAGGTTGGAATATTCGAGAGAGAGCTTACATATCATCGCGAGTAGCATAAATACCTCGAGTTGTAGAGGTTGAAGGGTTCAGGACGATCTCGGAGTCCGAATCCTGGGCTCGTAACTATAGTTCAAGTCGTAATCAAAGTCTTTAGAAGACGGTGGCGACGAGAGGCAGGCGATTCACGGGCACACTCACAGTTCAGGAAAAACTTGCTCCCCCTCGGTGGGTTCACAGTTTCTTTTATATGGGGGGATATCTTCTCGAGATCTCTCCCTGTACGTCATAGGTGATGATCTTCTTTGACCAATGGTGGGTGAAGTGACTAAATATGACACAACAGTTAACTCATCTTCTACAGGGAAGTATTGTGGTGGGAAAGGAGTTTTTATGAGCGATTTTTATGAGAAAATTTGTCGGTTGTTTTTTCCTTTTTGAGTTAACCCTAACTTTANCTACGCTACGCTACTGCATCCACCAATCAGAAGTCAGTGAAATGTAGGTCATTGCGACACGGCGCGAAAATGGCGAAAAAAAAGTTTTTCTTTTGTGTACGTTCCCTCGTGGCTACTCTAGAATAGATCTGGAAAGATTTATCGAAAACATTCGAAAGTATTCGTGTATTCACAATAAGAAATATCCCGATTATAATAATGGATGCCTAAAACACGCGATATGGAAAGCCAAAGGAAAATCCTTCAATTTAGAGGAGTATATAATAAAACAAGTAAAACGGCAAAACCGTATTTGGGACAAGACTATGTCTCAGAGACGGAATCACTTTGATGTTCAAGGCAGGTCTCGTTCTCATTCTTCTATCTTCTTTGATATCGCTGCTTTTGGGCACGATCGTTCAAACTTCGCCGGCCACGACCACGAGATCGTCCACGATGCATCTTCGATGAAATTAACCTATCTAATTTCGAAATTTCTCTCCGTCGCGCGTCGGCCAGGGTTGAATTTTTGTCGATGCGTAACGAAAAGTTCCCGTTTTTGAAAAAAGTAATAGTGGCTATTGTATTGTCCGAAATTATTTTTTTATTTTGCATAAACAATATACAGTTTAATCCGATTATAATATCATCGAATGTAACGACAACCCTCAAATTTTTATCAGTCCTGTGATTTTACTATACTAGATAATGTTAAAAAACCCACTTGTAACCGACATAAAACCGTTTTAACGTCATATTTGAAGCACTCCCAAATTTACAAAATTAGATTACAAATTTTATTTAACATAGAAGAAACTACGTGTTCGGTCCTAATGTCAGAGTTCACTTCTTAGAATGACTGTGGGTGGTACTCTCCCCTACCTGACTTCGGTGGGGTGAGATGCCTGTTTTGTCTGTTTGTAGAAGAGGGTCGCCATTTTGTATTTTATTTTGACTTGATTCTCGGTCCCCCGACTACCTACGAGTCTGGATATTTTTATGCTCAAATGATATCGAAACGGAAAGAATGCGCCGTATGAGCGACACCCTTCGGGCTTGACGGTGAATCGGTGTCAGAACAAGAATGTCGATCAAACGAGAGTGGAAATGAAAAAAGTATCGAAATCTCACAATAATGCAACACCCTGTATACGTTTACGTTTATTTTCAAACAAGAGAAACATTTTATAAATTTTTTAAGATTTAATCACAATATTGTTTTGCTGTGATAGTCATACAGTATTTTAAATTTCCTTAAGTAATAACTGTTTTTATTTCATTTGGATAATAAAACAAACAAACAATTTAAATAAAGTTTAAACAAAGTTAATAATTTCGATTATCTTCAATTAGGAGTAGCTTTAATATAAACAGGATGCTTTGAATGTGTTACCACAAAATCAAATGAAGGTTCAAGCTGCAATAAATATAAAAATAAATTATTAATAAATAAATAGACCTCAAATTTATCTAATAATAGTTGTATATGTAATCTATATAAATAAAGAATAGTGTAAATTCTTATTTTTTATATCTACTCCCAACCAATTAGAACATCAATTAATATATGTATGCAAAAACAGATTGTGTAGCTACTAGTATTGTATTCGGAATATATTGGATTCCAACTCACTCATCACAACCCCTGCAAGAAAGATAGAGATGGAAGAACCCATAGACAAATCATGTTTTTAGAGGTAAATATTAAACTTTGAACATAAAATACAAGCATCCCTCGTACAACACGACACTTCTACAACGCGATTACGCTGTAACACTGATAGAAAATTTGGAATATCCCTGGTACAATACGGTACGAGAATTCGGGAAATCGTCCGTACAAAATTTTACAATTTTTAAGTGAAAATTCCGATATTCGATGTTTTATATTCAATTTGTTTTGTGCCTATCGCCAGGTAGGTTTACTTTAATAACCGACAGGGTATTTTTTCTTCCTTGTCCTAGCTTTCCTATCAACCAAGTATCGTTGTCGTTGCTTTCAGACTACTCTTTAAGACTGTCTCTGTGTTTTGTTTGTAAGTTATAGATGGACTTCGTATTTAGCATATTTAAAAATTATTAGGTAAGTTTATTAACCTATTTTTAACCACAGGTAAGTAATCATTCGTAAAAATGACAAACGAAATACAACGGTATCTCGGTATTCGAACATAAATTCCAGAAAATTTAATTGTGATTTTTAGTTGATTATTGATTGTATATGAATTATTAATTGCTTTCATAAACGTATTTCTCTTTTTTGTTACTATTTGCTAACTTTTAAAACCTAAGCCCATATTTTGTATTAGTTCTTTGTTTCGTATAGCACGGATTCGCATAACACGGCACTTTTTCGGAACGGAACTACCGTGTTATACGTTCGATAAAGTTGGATTGGAAATCATGTCTAAAGGCAAACCTAAAGCGTGGTTTGCATATGTGGACTCATCTCTCTGCCTAAGGATTATTCAATCACTGCATTTCTTGCGAAAAATGAAAATTGTGATAAAAGTTGGAATCCAGGGAAAAACCGGTAGCTGTACCACCATTCTTTCTGTTCAGGTGTAGCTCTGTAGGTGACATTGTAATTGGTTGCGAGTATAAAAAAGGAAGAATATACATCGTTTTTTACTTATATTAATATTTAGTTATATTAAACTTATGCTAAATTATTTAAATGCCATTTTAATTAGTACGTGATACATATACATTCTGATTTATTAAAAGAATACGTAGAATTTTTTGTCAGACAGTTTGATTAATCTTAAATGGAAAAAAACACACTTAACTATGGCTTCCTATACAAGGGTAATGGATTTCTTATAATTTAAACGCTGTTTACTGTTTATTTTATTACAAATTATAATATTAAAAAAATAGTTTTGAAAAAAAAATTATTAAAATCATATGGCTTAGGCATTATGTCTTTTCATTTATATTGTTTTTCTCTAAATATTATTGGATTTCAAAATGACTTTCGACATATCCTACTGATATAAATTTTTAAATAATTTTCATTTAACTGATATATCTTTTTAAAATTGCTCATTTATCATTCATAGCATATCCTAAGAATGATAATGATTTGTGAAATACAAGCCAACTTAGAAAACTGAAGTTAAACATCCCTAATTATTTCGTATTATATTTTACATGAGATAAAAATTTAACAGACATATATTACCTTATTAGTTTCTGGGCAAAGACTGAATTTAAAACTTTTCACAAGATTGGCCAAAATTAGCTTTACAATTAATTGGCCTAGCCTCATTCCCGAACAATGTCTTGGGCCTATTCCAAAAGGTTGATATATATAAGGATTGATGTTTGATTTATCTTCAAATCTGCAAGTAAAATTACAAACTTGTATAAATTTAATTAAAATATTACTTTATAGACAACTAATTTGCAATTTTCAATAAATTGTTCTGTCTTTTATTGGTAAATACTGAATTAATTTCATTATACCCATCAGTGACACGATACTTTAACATTAATTTAATATTGATAGTTACAATAAATTATAAAAAATTAAAATTACCTTTCAGGTTTAAATTCATCAGGATCTGTCCAATATACAGGATTTCTGTGCAAACCATATTGAGGTACAATAATAGTCATATTTTTGGGAATTAAAATATTCTTATATACATAATCTTCTTCTGCCACTCTATTAATAAAGCTACGTTAAAAGAAATACAAATATACATAAGTCTCTATCATCCAAATTTATTATATTTAAAAATCATTCTTAAGACTCTCACTGTGCTTTGTTTTTATACATTAATCTTCGTATTTAGTAAAGTTTATTTAAACATTTTTAGATAAGTGTTATTAAACTTTTTTAACCGTAAGTAATCATTCGTAAAAATGAACGAAATACAACGGTATCTCGGTTAGCTCAAAAGATAACGATACTTTGTAAGAAGAAAATGTCCTTGTTTAACTAAAATTAATATTAACACCTCCCTCAGTACTTTTAATTGTGATTTTTAGTTAATTATTAATTGTATATGAATTATTGATTGCTTTCATGAACGTATTTCTTTCAGTAACGAAAAAAAATAGTATACTTTTGTTAACTTCTGGAACTTAATCCCATGTTTTGCATTAGACTTGTTTCGTATAGCACGGATTCGCATAACATGGAACTTTTATGGAACATAACTACCGTGTTATACGAGGATACCTGTATTTTGCTGCTTGAATGGAAAATATAATTTCATTTCTGTACTTTTGCTGATTGGCATCGGTTTATTTAATGCTATAACAACGTTCTTAAAATAACCTTTTTTAAAAGTCCAGGGAATCCTTTCTGAGTTGTATAGTTAAGCTGACGAATGCGACAAAAATTAGTTTCTATCGGAATTACGTGACTGGTGTTTAGTCAAATATCATTCTGTGACGTACTGTATATTTCGTTTTTGGTTCCGATAGCCGAGTAGCGAGTGCGACAGATGGAGTTCTCTTATCGGTCATTCTCGTGTTCTGTTAAGTACTGTATATGTACTGTACATAATTATGCAATGAAAGTGAAAAAATGCAGTTTTAGGTGTATTTTTGTGAGCAATTAGAAAGAGAGAATGTTAACATTCTGCCTCGCGAATCTCAGTTTCTGCTCTATGATAATGCTTTTCAACTAAAATCATTCTTCGTTTAAAGAATCCGATCGTCTTCCTAAGCCATTAGCCTTATATTTATGCAATGAATTACGAGATAAGTTACGAGATAAATGTTATAAAAAAACTTCTCTCTACATAAGTAACTTTTATAGCGTTATTGTTTAATATTAGAATTTAAATAAAAAATAAGTAACTATATTATGAACACTGTTTTACAAATAGGCCTATATTGTTTCATTTGCATACGTAAAATTAAAATGACAGCTTCGATTATACAATACAGTATATAAAAGTTGCGTGTATGTTCTTTGATTACATATTTTCACACAAAAAAATTCAGATTATACCGTAGCCTACTAATACACGACAATACTAAAAACACGTGCTTCGCTTTGTAAACAGCGAATTGTAGTGATAAGCACAATGTTAACTGAATTATGATTGGTTAAAATGTAAAGCCATAGCTTCGTGGGACTCAGGCAAATTTGAATTAGGGGAGCCCCAAGTACTGTACAGTACATTGCTGACTTTAGACATTTTTCTTCGAGGGAATTTTTAGGGGAATTATTTTCTTGTAAAAGATTTGTTTGGGGCCCCCTGTTGGTGGGGTCCCAGGCAATTGTCTTTTTTGCCCATAGGATGACGTTTCACTGAACTAGAACTTCTTTGTTTCCATTGACTAAATATAAAAAGTTTTCTTTTAACAAACTTTTTATGTATTATAAAATTGATTATTGCGTGATCATGTACTGCATGAAACTACCATAATGGCTTTGAACTTTTCCTTATAAACTGAAGAAAAGTGGACTATTTACATCAGCATCAAATTTCAATTTCAAATATGTTACAAACATAATCTTCATTCGTTCGATTCTCTTATCACAAATATCTTATAATTGTAATTTCTATCAAGTCGATCTTTAACAATAATTACTTTAATTTGTACTAATTCCTTCCATTTTATTAGAGAAAAGCATAAACTTACTTTGGAGCAGGTGGAAACATTCTTAATGTTTCACAGAATACTTGATCTAAATATTTCAGTTTGGATAACGTGGAGTAGTCAATAGTTTCCTATATAAAAGTAATATTAATATTAACACGTTGAAGATATTTTATTGTTAATTAATTAGGTATAATTATTCATATAAAACATTATTTGTTTCATACATAATTTTTATACAATGAAAAACTGTAATAGGTAAAAGTGTTAAATAATATCATGTTTATTTTATAATAATAAACACGACATTAATTAATTATTATATAAATAATAATAGTATATTAGTTTAAAATATATGATGTCCTGTACAATAAGGGGCAAATAATAACCGTATCATTTCACAACGCAATTAACTAAAAGTCTATGTTAGACCTTTCGATGCTCTTACAATTTTAATGTACGGAGTCTCATCATAATTTTATTTGAATTATCCAAATACGTAATTCTGGTTGAGTATGTTTACTTTGACTTGCCTCGAACTATACGGAACCTCAAACTATAGCAACTCTACTGTACAAAGTAATGCTTTTCCAAGATGACAATTTCCCAACAACTCCACCAGAGGCCTTGCCGATGAAACCGCTGAACACTGGTCATGGATTCGCGCCTCACCAATGGATTAGCCACGTGAAGTTTTTCGAGTTTCCTATACGTGTCTAATACCTAAATAAAAGCTATATTCCCATAATGTCTTCCCTTGAGGCATCTTGTCAAATCGCATTTGTGTAGCTTTGTCTTATATCCAATAATCCAACATCAATCCACTTTCTCAACAAGATTAAGAACAGTTCGAAAATGAAATGAATGGAAGATCGTTTTCTCAATATTCTACGCAAATAGTCTGAACTATTTGACTATTTACCTGACTTTATTTATTCTATAAAAAGAGAGAGAGAGACCAATACCTCTTTATTATTATATTGTGATATTTCTTCTCTAATTCTTTCTTGTATCTCTGGATACTTGGCAATATAATAAGTGGCAAATATCACGGGATTACGAATTGTATCGTATCTTAAAGGAATAAAAATGAAGAGATTGATATTAAATAAACATTAAAAAAATTTTTTAACACTGTCAAACTAATACGTACGCAGTAACAGCAGCATAGAAACTATTTGAGATGCAGTCTATTTCAGTTAGAAGTGATTTTTCAGTTTTTGATTCTATAAGACATTTTTATGTTTCGTAAAATATTAGAAATTGTACAATATTATTGAATTAAAATGGAATTTATATTACCTGAATTTTCGGTCTCTTGAGAAAATATAACTTTCTTTTTTTTAAAAATAGGGTCGATCATATGTTGCAAAAGGTCTATATAATTACTCTGAAAAAATCATAAGATTAATCTTTAAACTCAGCATTTCTATTAATAAATTCGTATTATTAAATGATAATATAACAGTTTAATCGACATTTTAGGGAAAACTTTCCTCAATAAAGTAAGTTTATCCTTAGCTAATATTGTATTTCTATTTCTGATTTTGAACTTAAATCATGTACAGTTTGTTTTAAAACAAACTTCAATTCTCAAAAATAAAGTCTTAGTCTTTTTACAATAACCAATAATACATGGTGCAGGAAAAGTTTCTGACTTTTTAAGATAACTGATTTACAGTAATAAAACTAAATATCTGATTACATATTTGGATTAAAAAATGGTATGTAATAGTGGAAGAATATTTATTACAACTAATAATCAGTGTAAAGTTTGTTCCCTTCATTGCACTGAAAAATTCTTGTGGCGAAATTTCCCATCAACTGGAGGGTGTCATCTTTAGTGATAGATGACCTTTCTTTTGCAACGTGTATAATTAATTGATCTTTTGTTCGTGATTGTGGTTGAGATAGCTTACTGTTTTGAAGCCTTCTCCAGATATGGACTATGAGATTCAGGTTTGGAGAGTTTGTAAAGCTTCAGGAGTCTGGAGAAATGTCCAAATCCCTAGAAACTCTGAATTTCTTGTGAAGTTTATTTGGCAGTATGCGACCTCCCCAAATGGTACTTCTGATATAATGGCGTATTGTTGAAGTGCACAGTTTTATGCCTCTGCAAGTAATCTTTAGAAAAATTGAATTTTCGGAAACTTTACGGGGACCTAATCCTATATTTTTTCTTCATCAGCTTATGAATTTTATTCTTTGATTTGGAGATCATTTTGGCAGGCAGTCCATTTCCCGATGCATCAACAATAACATTGTCCTCTTTTTGACACTATTTCCCGACATCGCATTTAGTTGTTAGTATGCCTTTCTTTTTTTGTAGAAAATCCAACTCCCTGAATACCTTGAATAAGGCTACGAGTATGCTGTCAAACTTTGCCCTTTACGACAAAAACATTAATTAGATATTAATTTTGTACACTACACACCGATAGGAATGATATCCAACCATAAAAAATAGAGAAAAATTGCAGACAGACACACACACAGAAAAAAATGTAACATTTATACTGCGGGATATGATGGAAAATGAGTTGTAAAAATAGTTTCTGACTCAAGTTAGAAACTTTCATTATACCAAAAGCAAAGAAATTAATTGGCAGACACTATTGCCTTAAATGTTTCTCAGAATTCTCCTCAATAAATATCTTCCAAGAGTTAAGTTACTGCTTCAAGTCGTGAAAAACAGAGTGGCAAAAGTAATCGATTCCGAATAAAGTACGGGTTTTTAGTCATCTGACGAACGAGCTCTGGCGATTTGGCACAAATGGTACCTAGTGCATTAATCTGTCATGCCACTTGCCAGTGAGTTGGTGTAATATATGTCTTTTCATAACAGCAATCCTTGGGAAGCAGAAATACAGAGGCAGCCATTCAATAGACGATTGGAAAACATCTTCATGAAACCTAGGAGAATCAGAAATTTTTGGTGCACCCTGTATAACATTTTAATTTTATAATAAAATCTCATAACAAACGGCACTACGCACATACTTTTTTTTAACCTTAAATTTTCTGATCATGTACAGTACTTCCCCAGCAGTAGAACAGGAGGTTAAAGGAACCAGGAAATTAAATATGTTCCACAATTTCCTACCTTATATACAGATAGTCTAGCAGAAATAGCATCTTGACACATATTATATATATCCAACATAGAAGGAGATGATAAGTAGTACTTCACTGTGTGATACCAGACTCGAATATAATAAAACACGTTCATCACTTCTGGTAAACATACTGGAAAGGTTATACAACTATTTTATGTACTTAATTAAAATAAAACAATCAATTAATAGTAACTTTAGATCTATAAATTAAAACATAGGATAGTTACACAAAAAGTTATTGTGTAATTAGAAACCTATATATACTGTATATAGAAATGAGGATGTTTGGTTGTTTGTGTTTTGTTTGTTCGCTATTCGCTATGCAAGTCTAGGCCGTTCGACCAATTCCTACGAAACTTGGCAGTTACGTTCACATACTTCTAATTTAGATAATGTCGTAATCCCACTCTAAAATATCGATTCAGTTTCTATAAATGAATTAATTTGTATTTACATTCCATAGAAAATAATTAACTAAATATATTTCTTACAAAAAAAGGATATAATTTAAAAATATATATATTGTATTCATTTAATTATTGCGAAAATGATGTAGCGCAAAATAGATGCACCATCACGCTATTACTGCGACAGGTAGCATATACAGTAGCGTGTTGTAGTAGTGTTGCCCCTGTATATCATACTTTTCCTGTTAGCAACGGAGTCGTGCCGGTTATGTATCTAACCTTGTTCAGGGGAAGATTTTTGAATTGAAATAACGTGACTTGCGTTAAAAATTGGAAGTTCTTATATAGTTAATCTGGTCATCTATCTTTTACAATTTCCATATCTATCTCGACTTTCATCTACCTAACTCCTTTCTCGATATTAAGAAAGGATAGAGGCGGACGGATGACAGTGGGAATTTATAGAAGAAATTTGGAATTTGTTAAGCTGCAATTTTTTCAAATTGCAGCTTAACAAATTGCAGCCCAATAAGACCCTCTAATAATCGAGTCTATAAAACCATCGAAAACCGGTAGTCGGTCGTAGGTTCGTGTATTGCCAACGAACTGGTAACGTGAAGTTTTCTGAGTTTTCTTAGCGTTAATAATAATAGTCGTTGATTATCCTCTGGAGAAAGAGAACTACTACTTTTGTTCGAATTAACTTTCAACCTCTATCTGCAACAGATCCTTCTTCCTATCGGACCAGAGGTATGGTGGCATTAGAATAGGAAAATTACATAATGAAAGGCGAGTAGTAAATATAATTTAAGGGATTTTCCAAGATGCCGTGTATAAGTATTTGGTCCATTTTTCACGAAATTTGATTCGTTGGCAGATTATCATTTGATATTAGGCTGTGAATGGAACAATTTCATAGAGCTAACATTAGAAAAAATGCTGTCTACCAATGAAATTATGCCATTTCGTATCGCGATAAACATGACAATGGTAGACAAAATTGACCAAATTTTTTATATGGTTTTCATTTTAATGTTTGTTATATTATAGTAATTGATTTATATAACTACAACGTTATCTTGCGTAGTTTTATCACACCGAGTGACCAATCTAACACATTTTAAAAATTCTTTAACTGTACACAATTTAAAGAATTTTTAAACGTGTTAGATTAGTCGATCGGTGTGATAAATAATTACATAAGATAACCTTTGTAGTTATATAAATCAATTACTATAATGTAATATAATAGAAAGGTTAAAATACTAAAGAATCTAATAATCGTAATGTTCTTATTTTTTTGCCCGGGGCAACGCTGGGCTTACCTGTTAGTACAGTATCTAACATAAAGTAGATTTATTAGAGTAGACATTCAAAGAAAGTATACGAATGCCAATATTAGTTATATAATTGTCTTAATGTAAATGAAATTATGTACAATTGTTTTTAATACAGTATTATATAGATATAGCTTATTGCAAACAAAAAAAAATACAATTCTAACTATTTTTAAGCTTTATAGAATTTAAATAAATTACTTCTAAACTGTAGATATGTTTGAATATTTTGCATAAAAATAAATGCTAATTTTAATTTTATTAATTAAAAGTTAATTTAGTAAAGAAATGAATTTTATTGCTAATTTTGTGATATAAAGTTTATAAATGTCTATTGTTCTATATATTATACGTTATATTATATTAAATATATATACAAATAGATATATAATTAATGCTTTATATAACTTATATTAAAAGATAGGTTATAAAATTTTTACTAACAAGAAATGAAATTGATGGGATTTATTAAATTCGTATCGAATGCATAATTCAGAGATTGAACAACTCTTTTCTTCTCGTTAATCTTTATACCGAACAATGTCTTGAAAGTTATATCGGCTACAGTAGTGGAGAAAATCTCTTTCACATCTAATGTTTCTTTATTTTCAATAATTTCTTTCATTTCTTTCCAATTTTCTTCAATGGTTTGGTTTATGGCATTTGTCATCTATACGTAATAATATCATAAAAATATTTTAAACAATTCGTTTTTAAAATATACTAAAATGGAAAAATCAAATGAAGAAAAAATATATACAGTTTTCAGTTTGCTAGTAGTAAAAGTTGGTGTGATCATATCTCGAGCTTCCTTCCAAATTGGCCCTGAATTTACACTTGTGCTGAATTTAAATACTGGATTTGGTACTGCAGCATTCGGTATCACTGACTAAAAAATATTTAAATACATTAATAACCACTATTTGCGCTTTATTAAAGTCTATGATATTATTTTTAAGCTGCATACTAATTTCAAAGCCATTCACAATTTACTTAAAATAATTGACTTTTTATTTCTTTTAGGAATGAATTTAATCTAATCGCTTTTATAGGTAATTTCACAGAAAACAGAACGGAATTAAACGTGATCTCTTTATAAATATCTAATATTAATGTATAAGATTGATCTCATTTAAAATTAAAAAGCATTTCATATTATTTCCAATATACCTATCATATAAAGAAGTATTAGTGATCATTTCAGATGTATTGGCGCAAATACTACAGTTTATAAGAAAACGATAGTCGCATTGAAGGTTTGATTTTATCTGCGATAAAGTAAAAGCTAAAGAAACATTGTTTTATAGAATACGTCAGAAGATTAAAACAAATATTTTATTATTATTATTTACTTATAAAACAAAGGAAACAAAGTATAGTCAACAAACACTCTAGTTATGAGTGTAACAAAAGTTCCAATTCGATTATACTTGATATATGATTATGGATATGAGAATATATTTCTTTCGATACAGCTTTATCAATAATTTAGTACTTATCTTTCAACATTTGGTGTGTGCTTTAAGATATACCAAACTGTCATTTGAGAAGCCTTTGTAAGGTTAGTTGACTGCAAGACATTGGTGACTACTTAATATTTTCTACCAAAGCTTTTTATTCCGAACTTTTAGTTTACGTGGACGTCATTAATACTTATTGGTAATACATTTAACTGGATTTCGCAGATGATTCCAAACAACTTTATATGAGCGGTAAAGTGAACGTGAAATTTGTCGGGTTGGAGTGTTCGAAGCCTCCAGTCCGTCTATTTTCGCTTTTTTATAGTCAGTTAACAACTTTCCATGTCATATTTTTGCATGTCAAAATTATAGAATTTACTGGTGTTTTGAGTTTTTATGTTGAGTTTAATGATAAATACTACTGGTTCTCAGCAAAGTTGTCGATTACCTATTTTCTAATGATCATATAACTTTTAATTTAGATTATAAAATTTTATACATTATATATGATAACACTTATTATCGATTTTTCCTTGCTTCAGTTTTGAAAGCGATGTTTTATCTGGATATCTACATAGATTAATTTAATGAAAAATAAAGATAGCGACAAATCATGGCTATAAATGGAAAAGTATGATTCATTTTTATGCAAAAATTCCGTTGTATACACGTTCAAGTAATTTTTGTATAAATAAAGAAATCAATATTGATCAATAAGTAGTTAGAAAAACATGTTAAGATTAGAAAACAGAGAATTTAGAGAATTTCAATTTATGTATTAATTTAATAAATAAAGTTATATAATACCCAACATCGTCTGATCCTTTTCATAAATAACATAATATGATGTAAGTATATGTGGCATGTTATATGTCAGGATGTACTGTACTTTAATAAGCGAAAAATATCACATCGCATCTGTGCATTGCGCATTTAATCTAAGTAAGGAATATGATCCACAAATAAATGAAGAATTTCAGAAGGAAAGAAAAAAACACGAGAACATTCATGATTTTAAAAAATCAGTTATAAATATAATTTTCCTTTAAAGTGAAAACATTCTTTTAATCGAAGATTATACAGGCTTTGAAACTTCACTTGCATAATATGCATACAATACTTGTTGTAAATACAACCTGCGTCATCAAGTGAAGGTTATGTGTGATCATTTTGATTAAACACGTGATATATCATTCTTTTTTTATCTATAATTAATGAGATAAAACACGATAAAGTAATTTATTAGTTTAAAAATAACAAATGATAATAATTCTTGTAAATATGTTTATAATTAATTAGCTGTATTATCAGCCATTAAAAATTATAAAAAATATGAAGAGTTTTTATATTATATCAATTTCTTAACATTATATTTTACTTTATACTTTTGTTACACTTTATATGTAGTGAATATACTGTACATATAAATTTTAATATATAACGTTATACATTGTTATCATATCAAAAAAAATTTTAATATTTTTATTGATAGTAGTAGAGTTACAAAATGTTGTTATATAATAATGATAAAATTGTATATATATATATTACTGTAAATTATATGTATATACTACATATTCTGTATAAAGTATATGTATGAAAGATATTTGATAAAATTTTTCAGTTGTTCTAGTTTGCAACTCAAGTAAACAAATAAATTATTTCATATGAAGCAGAAGTTAATTGCAATCATTATATTATTTTTATTCATATTTATTATTTTCTTATAATAAATTCACTATTATTTAAAGCTATTTATTTATTTACATCTTTAAAACATGTAATTTACAGCTATATTTATCAGCAAATAGCAACAACAAGAAAACAAAAACTAGATTTTTTGGTAATTAATTACAATGTTAAACATAATTAAACAAATAAAAATGATCTCACATTTCTCCTGTGAAAAATCTGTGCTTTTTTCACTTCAATTATTTTCAAAAATTCCGGATTGAGAACTACAACAATTGGGGTTGTGCCAAAGAAATATCTAGGAAATACAGCAGTATTGTTTTAAAAAAAGTTCAAACAAAGTGTTTAACTTATATGAAGTTTATTTAATAAATATTCACCCATAAATTGGTCCATATTTCAGAAACCAATCGACTTCGAATTTTTTCCCCTAAAATAATTTTAATAAAAATATTGTTAATGATATTAGATTAGTTTAAAATTAATGTTTATAAATGATATTTTTATTGAAATTATTATTTATTGCTTTTCAGTTCTGTTTATCAGAATTTTGGTGCATTCTCTTATTTGAACATATTTTTATTATTAATTTATATCAATGGTTCTTAACCCAATCGTACGTTTTCAATCCAGGCAACCTATCATATAAAGAAGTATTAGTGATCATTTCAGATGTATTGGCGCAAATACTACAGTTTATAAGAAAACGATAGTCGCATTGAAGGTTTGATTTTATCTGCGATAAAGTAAAAGCTAAAGAAACATTGTTTTATAGAATACGTCAGAAGATTAAAACAAATATTTTATTATTATTATTTACTTATAAAACAAAGGAAACAAAGTATAGTCAACAAACACTCTAGTTATGAGTGTAACAAAAGTTCCAATTCGATTATACTTGATATATGATTATGGATATGAGAATATATTTCTTTCGATACAGCTTTATCAATAATTTAGTACTTATCTTTCAACATTTGGTGTGTGCTTTAAGATATACCAAACTGTCATTTGAGAAGCCTTTGTAAGGTTAGTTGACTGCAAGACATTGGTGACTACTTAATATTTTCTACCAAAGCTTTTTATTCCGAACTTTTAGTTTACGTGGACGTCATTAATACTTATTGGTAATACATTTAACTGGATTTCGCAGATGATTCCAAACAACTTTATATGAGCGGTAAAGTGAACGTGAAATTTGTCGGGTTGGAGTGTTCGAAGCCTCCAGTCCGTCTATTTTCGCTTTTTTATAGTCAGTTAACAACTTTCCATGTCATATTTTTGCATGTCAAAATTATAGAATTTACTGGTGTTTTGAGTTTTTATGTTGAGTTTAATGATAAATACTACTGGTTCTCAGCAAAGTTGTCGATTACCTATTTTCTAATGATCATATAACTTTTAATTTAGATTATAAAATTTTATACATTATATATGATAACACTTATTATCGATTTTTCCTTGCTTCAGTTTTGAAAGCGATGTTTTATCTGGATATCTACATAGATTAATTTAATGAAAAATAAAGATAGCGACAAATCATGGCTATAAATGGAAAAGTATGATTCATTTTTATGCAAAAATTCCGTTGTATACACGTTCAAGTAATTTTTGTATAAATAAAGAAATCAATATTGATCAATAAGTAGTTAGAAAAACATGTTAAGATTAGAAAACAGAGAATTTAGAGAATTTCAATTTATGTATTAATTTAATAAATAAAGTTATATAATACCCAACATCGTCTGATCCTTTTCATAAATAACATAATATGATGTAAGTATATGTGGCATGTTATATGTCAGGATGTACTGTACTTTAATAAGCGAAAAATATCACATCGCATCTGTGCATTGCGCATTTAATCTAAGTAAGGAATATGATCCACAAATAAATGAAGAATTTCAGAAGGAAAGAAAAAAACACGAGAACATTCATGATTTTAAAAAATCAGTTATAAATATAATTTTCCTTTAAAGTGAAAACATTCTTTTAATCGAAGATTATACAGGCTTTGAAACTTCACTTGCATAATATGCATACAATACTTGTTGTAAATACAACCTGCGTCATCAAGTGAAGGTTATGTGTGATCATTTTGATTAAACACGTGATATATCATTCTTTTTTTATCTATAATTAATGAGATAAAACACGATAAAGTAATTTATTAGTTTAAAAATAACAAATGATAATAATTCTTGTAAATATGTTTATAATTAATTAGCTGTATTATCAGCCATTAAAAATTATAAAAAATATGAAGAGTTTTTATATTATATCAATTTCTTAACATTATATTTTACTTTATACTTTTGTTACACTTTATATGTAGTGAATATACTGTACATATAAATTTTAATATATAACGTTATACATTGTTATCATATCAAAAAAAATTTTAATATTTTTATTGATAGTAGTAGAGTTACAAAATGTTGTTATATAATAATGATAAAATTGTATATATATATATTACTGTAAATTATATGTATATACTACATATTCTGTATAAAGTATATGTATGAAAGATATTTGATAAAATTTTTCAGTTGTTCTAGTTTGCAACTCAAGTAAACAAATAAATTATTTCATATGAAGCAGAAGTTAATTGCAATCATTATATTATTTTTATTCATATTTATTATTTTCTTATAATAAATTCACTATTATTTAAAGCTATTTATTTATTTACATCTTTAAAACATGTAATTTACAGCTATATTTATCAGCAAATAGCAACAACAAGAAAACAAAAACTAGATTTTTTGGTAATTAATTACAATGTTAAACATAATTAAACAAATAAAAATGATCTCACATTTCTCCTGTGAAAAATCTGTGCTTTTTTCACTTCAATTATTTTCAAAAATTCCGGATTGAGAACTACAACAATTGGGGTTGTGCCAAAGAAATATCTAGGAAATACAGCAGTATTGTTTTAAAAAAAGTTCAAACAAAGTGTTTAACTTATATGAAGTTTATTTAATAAATATTCACCCATAAATTGGTCCATATTTCAGAAACCAATCGACTTCGAATTTTTTCCCCTAAAATAATTTTAATAAAAATATTGTTAATGATATTAGATTAGTTTAAAATTAATGTTTATAAATGATATTTTTATTGAAATTATTATTTATTGCTTTTCAGTTCTGTTTATCAGAATTTTGGTGCATTCTCTTATTTGAACATATTTTTATTATTAATTTATATCAATGGTTCTTAACCCAATCGTACGTTTTCAATCCAGGCAACCAGAATCTCCCATATATATTAAATCATCATCCATGAAGGATTTTCAACACTGCATAATTCTTTTGTAACTGACATTATAAAAGAATTTTAGTATTATAAATATGATTATTACAGATTTCTAATTGTGTTAAACAACTCAATGAGCCCTCCTGATTCATTTATCATGCACCTTTTAGGAAAAATGTGGCGAGATTTCACATCGACTATCGTTAAGGAAGTTGAGCGTTAGGGATGTTGGGGGTAAAGACCTCGCAGTATCTTTTCTAGGATGTTAAAAAATATTCATGTCAAACTCGACGTAGATAAGTTAAATGGTATATAACCCTTTACCTAACATACAGATACACATATTTTGACTTTTATACAGTGGCGCACCAGAGGGGTACACGACAACTGGGCCACGGTGAACTGGGCGATTAACAACGGGCGCTAGTCAATTGGGTGACAGAAACTTAGAAAGTTTTGCATGCCTAGAAAGCATACGATTGGGCGGATATTTTTTGTAATATTGGTAAAATATATATAAATATAAATATGATTAAGACTTATGAACTATGAGTTACAAATTATTTCCAACTTAGGAAAAGGAAATGTTTGAAACTTCTTACTGTGGCATAGTTAATTATTGTATGTCAGAAGCAGTTAAGAAAGTACAGTACATCAAAGAAAAGCGGTTCTTCCAAAACAAATTCTATTAAAGAACTGCTCTTCTTTCATGTGATTTGTTAACTGTTTATAATTCTTTGGAAGAACTTCCGCCAATTTAACATAAGTATGTATAAGAGCAAATCATTTTCAAAAATAAAGTTTAAAATAAAAATTTTGATTTGAATTTCATGTCTATTTTTTTCTTTTAATGTGTGTAACATGTATAAATATGTCCGATAATTACAAAATCGTTCTTTTAACTCAATTCCGCATTATATTTAATGCGGAATTCAATCTACAGCATTAAATATAATGCCACTAATTCATAAAAATAATCTTTTTGTTCAACTCGGCTTTCCAAGTTTAAATCCTGAGTGCGCCATTGCTTTTATATATATGTTAAATTCTGTTAAATCAATCTTTTATATAAATAAATAAAACTTTACCAATAAGTAACCATGAACGCAACACAAAACATCTCGAAAAGTCCACTATATAGCCTATAAGCCTGTATAAATTATAGTGCAAACTAACAGAGAGACATAATTTTTTCCAAATTCTCGCATGTTTTCCTAATTTCTCACTAATTACTTTTTAATATTAGTTTTCTAAACGTAATACTATACTTCAATAGTACAAATTTCTTAAAGACAATCGCTTAACGGACGGACGGATTCTTAATTAATTAAAGACAACTTCGTAATAACTCTTATTGGCTAGATATTGGAAATAAAATGTCTCGCAATCAATTCAGTTTTCGGTTTAGATTCCTAAAAATTTTATAAAATATTTCCGTCCACAATTACATTTCTGGCTTGGCACTTCCCGTTAAGAAAAACGTCTAGATTTAATAAAAATTAAATTTGTAATCTTGTTTATTTTCGTTCGATAAAATAGTCATACGAAACAAACAACTTTTTACTTTTTGTGATGCAAATTATTATTATTTTTTTTGAATAAATAAATTACATTAAATTTATTTATTCAAAATTCTTCATTTTATAAAATTTTATTATGTAAGATAAAGTAATGATAAACTATCTTAAATAATTATGTCGTAAATTATTATTAAAATATCAGGACAACATCACCAAACGGATCAGGTCGAAGCAATTTCCAAACAAGAAGGACGGTTTAGGTCCTGGAATGCCAAGTTTCTCAAAACGACGAAAGTTTTCTCTTCTTTTTCTATAAAGATATATAAAATATAAGTTATTTTACAAATAAAAGTCTTCAGTGTTATAGTGTAATATCTAACAAATTATTTATGATAACTAAATTAAAACAATATTAATAAACTCTAACGCATTCTTAAACTATCCGTTTCTTTTATTATTCAATATTAACATAAAGTGAATTTCAATCTGTTTATTAATTTATTAAACTAAAATCGGTACAATTATTCCAGTGTTTATAAATTATGTTGGTTAATATACTCAGAACTTATTTTTCATTTACAATCTACAACATAAAAACTTCATTCATCAAAATATTGTTAACTCAAAAGCAGATTTTAATATACACGAACAATTATTTATTATTACATCGTCACAATACCGGGCTGCAATTTTTAATCATATTATTAATTTATTTAATTTAAAATATATGCTTTCCACTTCAAATTAGTAGTGGCTTGCCCCTGTATATCTTACTTTTCCTGTTAGCAATAGAGTCGTGCAGGTCATTTAACTCCTTTCAGGGAAAGTTTTTGAATTGAAATAACGTGTTTTTCGGTGCAAACCGGAAGTTTATGTATAGTTATTCTGGGCCTTCTGTCCCATAAGATTTCATATCTAGTCTCGGTTTTCATCTATCTAACACTGTTCTCGAGATTAAGGAAGGATAGACAGACGGACGACAGAGGGAATTTATAACTGGTCTACAGTTATTTTCAAATTGCAGCCCAATAATAAATAAATAAGAAGACGAGAACATCCATGATCGAAAAAAATGAGTTATAGGAAAATATAATATTCATTTAAAGTGAAAAATTCTTTAATGAAATATTATACAGCATTTTAAGCTTAATATGCATTGCATACATATAATAATTTTGCTGTAAATGCTACTGCATCATCAAGTGAAGGTTATCTCTTATTACTTTGATTAAATGAGTGTGATATTTGAATATTTTATCTATGGATACTTATACCTTTGTGATTAATATGAGTTAAACACGATAAGGTAATTTATCAGTTTAGAAATAGTAAATAACGTTGATTATTCTTATATATATATATTTATAATTTATTAGCCATATCATATCCCGGTTAAAATCCGATGGTATCGTTTGTTTATTATGCTTTTTAATTATAACATCGTTTGATGTAAAGCGAAAAAATAACAAAAATAAGGAGCATCATGAAGTACTGTACGTACAGCACCAAAAGAAAAAGCTATAAACAAAAATAGCACAGCGATGAACGAAAATAATGCAATTAAAAATGGACCAGGAAAGACTTCTAGTATTTAATTTTTTGTATTTATTAGGCCTTATATGTTGCAACCAATATGGACAGTATTATCAAATTTTTTTTACGCTGCAATCTAGATTATATTTGCCTTCGTTACAGTTAAATAAAAAATATTTTGAGGTTATTATATTTCAATAAAACAAAGAATTATTTTAAAGTAAAACTGATTATTCTGCAAAAATTATTTAACATCTTCAAACTTTGGCAATTTTGTTAGAAGTTTTGTATTAGAAACAGTCTTGGGTAGATACAGTATGCTTTGATTAGCTATCCTCAAGACTGATATTTAAGCGAAAAATAAACTTTTAGAATGTAAAAATTTTAAAAAAGTAAATACAAACAAAGAAAAGAAATGTAAACAGAAGTACAATAAATACAATAATTGAGAGCATTCAGATGCTCCTCCGTTATTATCATCCTAAATACGAATCATTTTCATAAGAAAAAAGTATAATCACGAAAATGATTAAGAAATCATTTGATAAATATATGGCTACTGCCAAAATATATGAAAATTACGACAAACTTCGAAAACAAAATGTGCTTTAATTAATTGAAATCCTCTATTAAATATTGAAAGCGAGAGAGAAAAAACCTACTCACTAGTCTTTTTTGACCGATTACAGGTTAAATTCATTAGGCCTATTCAAGTCTCTGAAGTATTACATGCAAGAAAGAAAAAGCCATCCGCTAATCTTAACTTAAGATTTTCGAGCCTACAGTAAACAAAAACATGCGTAAGACACTCAGAAAAGAGAAACATTCGATTTATTCACTTATTTTTACAGCAACTGCATGTAAACAGCACACACAGCAAGCCTGACTTTCATGTAACACAACACTTGTTCACCATTTGACCCTGATTTATCTTAATTACTGTATGTGACATACATTAATTAATATCAAACTTAAAAATATATTTGGCATCAATTAGCTACATTATCTGCCATCAAAAATGAAAACTATGAAGATTATTATGATATTGTAATGTAAAGACCTTATTAAGATTTCTTTGACATGGTAACCACGTATATTGAATATATTACAATATTTATTATTCTATTTTCTTATTTTGAGGGCATCTTAAATGATCTTTTGATAACGACGTTCTTTCAGTCTGTGTGTATTTTATATTATAGATAAATAAAAATCTTTATTTCTCAATATATTTTAGATATCTTTTCTCTCCTTGAAAACATTGCAGCGGACGTCTTTGCCTATACATAACTTAATTTACTAATTAAAAGTACTGTACTTGTATAATTAATTACTTGTAATTTAGCCACCATTCTTTTCCTGTTATTCATTTATGTTTTGTTGTTTCCTTTCTCGGTTGTTATATATAACAAAAGGAAAGTATGGCGATCGATCAAAACATTTTTACGCAGTTTAAAGCTTAATTAACCACTCGGCCATTGGTGAGTCGGTTTATATAAATTAGCCTACGGTAAAATAGATTTCGTTATATAGTTGTTTCCCTTAACGTTGCAGTTTCCATAAACCTATCGACGACGTTAAGTGAGGACTTGCTCAAGTATTAATGTAAAGTAAATAAAATACAGTAAAATATGAATAATAAATAAATGAACACTTACAAATACCACTTGACAAAGGTAAGAGTTAGTAGAAAAATAAAAAAGAAAATGAGGGCTTCCATAATGTAATTATAATAAACTATTTCGTTTAATAAGACTTTTTGATAGAGCTTTTAGGCTTTATATAGTATATGCTTATATAAAACGAAGATAACAATTGATTTATTGTGAATCGAATAATTACGATAAATATATGTGATAATGTATTGTAAGAAAGTATTGAAGTGTCAGTGAACGATTAACACTTTAAACGTGTTATATATAAGTTTCCTGGTATTACAATAAATTTTTCGGAATATCATTGTATAACTCATTTTTTTCGATCATGAATGTTCTCGTCTTTTTATTTATTTATTATTGGGCTGCAATTTGAAAATAACTGTAGACCAGTTATAAATTCCCTCTGTCGTCCGTCTGTCTATCCTTCCTTAATCTCGAGAACAATGTTAAATAGATGAAAATCGAGACTAGATATGAAATCTTATAGGACAGAAGGCCCCGAATAACTATACACAAACTTCCGGTTTGCACCGATAAAACGTTATTTCAATTCAAAAACTTTCCCTCAAAGGAGTTAGATGATCTGCACGACTCTATTGCTAACAGTATGATGTACTGTACAGGGGCAAGCCACTACTAATTTGAAGTGGAAAGCATATATTTTAAATTAAATAAATTAATAATATAATTAGAAATTGCAGCCCGGTATTGTGACGATGTAATAATAAATAATTGTTCGTGTATATTAAAATCTACTTTTGAGTTAACAATATTTTGAAGAATGAAGTTTTTATGTTGTAGATTGTGAAAGAAAAGTATATTAATTACTGTATGTGACATACATTAATAAATATCAAACTTAAAAATATATTTGGCATCAATTAGCTACATTATCTGCCATCAAAAATGAAAACTATGAAGATTATTGTGATATTATAATGTAAAGACCTTATTAAGATTTCTTTGACATGGTAACCAAGTATATTATTAAGTTAATATACTTGGTTACCATGTCAAAGAAATCTTAATAAGATCTTTACATTATAATATCACAATAAGAATGTTATCTTTAAGAAGAAAAATTTATCACATTCTTAATGTAAATAGGCGTAATAAAAAATGTGATATTTTATTGATATTTGTTGACCTGCAATTAAATATTGAATATATTACAATATTTATTATTCTATTTTCTTATTTTGAGGGCATCTTAAAACATCTTTTGATAACGACGTTCTTTCAGTCTGTATGTATTTTATATTATAGATAAATAAAAATCTTTATTTCTCAATATATTTTAGATATCTTTTCTCTCCTTGAAAACATTGCAGCGGACGTCTTTGCCTATACATAACTTAATTTACTAATTAAAAGTACTGTACTTGTATAATTAATTACTTGTAATTTAGCCACCATTCTTTTCCTGTTATTCATTTATGTTTTGTTGTTTCCTTTCTCGGTTGTTATACTCGTACATTTATTGATTTTGAGGTACAAAACCATAATCTCCTTCAAAGTAGTCTCCTTGGTAGTGTATACACTTCTCCCAGCGTTCCTGCCATTGCTGGAAACACTGCTGGAACGTATCTTTTGGAATGGCCATCAGCCGGTCCGTCGCATTCCGCACGATGTCTTCTCTCGACTAAAATCGGGTTTCTTTTAGCGGCATTTTCAGCTTGGGAAATAGCCAAAAGTCACATGGAGCCATGTGGGGAGAGTACGGAGCGTGACGAACCACAGGAGTGTTGTGTTTGGCGACGAAAGCCTGAATCAGATGCGCAGAATGGGCGGATGAATTATCACGATGGAGCTGCCAAGTTTTGATCGACCACAGATATGGTTGTTTGTGTCGCACAGCATCGGAAAGACGACGAAGGACCTCCTGGTAGTACTCCTTTGTGTGAAAGTAGCCAAGGACGCAGAGCTCAATCTACGCCACTTACGGGCACCAGTCGGTGAGACCAGTCCTCTAGGATGCAGATCACTAGATCTGATCTTAAATATATCATAGGAGAGCGATAACCGCTAGTTGATCTGAACCCCGAAGTTCAGACGTTCGTCAGGTTCCCGACACCAGTTTGTCAATTTATCGATGCGCGGACTAACACGCGTATGCGATCTGATTCGGACACCCAATTAAGAGACATTTTTGTATAATAAACATAAGTATAATTTAATAAATCTCAAACAAACGAATACAAATAACCAATAACAACGATTATACGACAAGCTATAGACTAGAACTGAATCTATGCTAATGCGCGTTCGAGAGAGAGAGCTCACAAAATTATTCTAAACATACGACCTGTTTAGATGTCGTCGTCTTCGTTTCTGTAGGTAAAGGACACCTTGTAGATCGGTTCATATTACATTCATACGGGAGATCAATTCGTGCACAAATATAAAAATATCACTTCTTCTAAGTGTAGACTCGGGACTTAGTCTATCGGACTCCGCTATGGGCGTTGGCCATCAGGAGGAAACGTATGTGGAGTTTGTATGCTTCGTATCTGTCGAAGAACTCCTCGAATTCTGACTAATCTTCCCTTTTATTTCAAAATTTTCGTCCAATCATCGTCCAGTAACTCTTTCGTGAGAACGGACGAAAGGGGGATGAACGAGGGGTAACCATTTCCCATCTGAGCGAGATTTTTAACCAGATAACGGAAAAACAGAGGATGTTCTCTTTGATGAAAGGAAATAACATTTGTTATCTGGTTTTTCCCATGTCTAAAACAATATTTTTTTCACAAAAACGAAGTAATATTTCGTGTCCATAATTTAAGATTATTAATAAAATTCACAAATTAGATCCAGGGCCTTTCGGATCTCACATTTGCGATGGTTTGGCCTTGTGGTGCGTACTCACGATACACCACCCCACGAGAGTCGAAAAAACTGTCAACATGACCTTGATATTGCTGCGGACCTGCCGCGTTTTTTTTTGGCCTCGAGGATCGTCCCCGAAAGCCTGCCGAATCTTGCGAATGGTTTACTCCTGGGTATCGCAAAGGTTTTTGGCAAAATTTGATGTAATATCGCTGCTCACGTTGTTCAGTCATTTTCCAACTAGTGGAATCCGACAAGAGCTCACTACATGTCCTCACTCATAGGCCGACTGCCAACGACTGACGCTTCCTGCAGGCGGGAAAAAATTCAGGGCTGTGCATGACTGTCCCCTCCACAACTCCACCGAAAGAGGCCTCCTGCGCATCATTGGTTTACGCGGAAAAAATAAAAGTCCGATACTTTTTGAATAGACCTCATATTTTTGCCGACCAAAGGTCCGATACTTTTTGAACGGCCCTCGTATTAATGTAAAGTAAATAAAATACAGTAAATATGAATAATAAATAAATGAACACTTACAAACACCACTTGACAAAGGTAAGAGTTAGTAGAAAAAGAAAAAAGAAAATGAGGGCTTCCATAATGTAATTATAATAAACTATTTCGTTTAATAAGACTTTTTGATAGAGCTTTTAGGCTTTATATAGTATATGCTTATATAAAACGAAGATAACAATTGATTTATTGTGAATCGAATAATTACGATAAATATATGTGATAATGTATTGTAAGATAATATTGAAGTGTCAGTGAACGATTAACACTTTAAACGTGTTATATATAGCCTAATTTTCTTGGTATTACAATAAATTTTTCGTAATATCATTGTTTAAGATGGCAAAAAAACATAACCGAAAACAGGATAGCCTATAGTTCACAGATATTACGAAGAAATGAAGGACGAAAAATCGATATTAGAAAATTAGATTAAGTATAGATACAGAAGTTTAATAATAAAATAATAGGATATATACGAGATTAAAAACTGTAACTTATGGAATAACGCTTAACGAAGGATTAGGCAACTGTTAGCATGCATGCCAAACGTGGCACGCAAACGATATTTTTCTGTCAGAAACCCAGGGCACATGTTAAAAAATAAATATCTAACATTTTTATTTTCCCGGCTGTTATATATAACAGAGGGAAGGTATGACGATCGGTCAAAAAATGAGCCCCAGATTTTACATTTTTGGGCTCGAGACCTTGAAACGTCGAGAAATGTAAAAACATTCGAGGGTAACTTCTGGTACGTATGGATGTTTGTATGGGGGGGTATGATTTTGTTCTTGTTTTAAGCTTAATAACTCCTGTGTTTTTTGTTGATATTTTTTGAAATTTTGCAGGGAGGTTTGCTTATTAGAGGATTTATGTTATTAAATTTTGGTGGTTAAAGGACGAGGGGGAGATGAAAGGGGTCGTGTCATATCTCCAGCAGGGTCTGACTTAATGACGATTTTACTCGTTATTAGCATTTACATTTCATTTTTTTTATAAAAAATTTTTTGTAACACCAGGAAATTTATATTTTTAAGGTTCACTGATACTTCAATACTATGTTACAATACATTATTACAGGTATTTATCATAAATATTCGATTCACAATACATCAATTGCTATCTTCGTTTTATATAAACATATACTATATAAAACCTAAAAGCTCTATCAAAAAGTGTTATTAAACGAAATAGTTTATTATAATTACATTATGGAAGCCTTCATTTTCTTTTTTATTTTTCTAATAACTCTTACCTTTGTCAAATGATATTTATAAGTGTTCATTTATTTATTATTCATATTTACTATATTTTGTTTACTTTACATTAATTAATACTTGAGCAAGTCCTCACTTCACGTCGTCGATAGGTTTTTTTTTTCATTTAATAGTCATCATCTCCCCTTACGGGGATCAGAACGTCCTTGTCCCGTTTCCACATCACAAGGATTGATAAATTTTTACTCAAACATGACTTTACACTATACAATATAATTTAAACAAACATTAAAATAACAAAACAAACTTATAAGGTAATTACAAACTGCTTGTCTAGCTTGACAAGGGGACCGGAAACCTTCCGGCCTATAGGTGACAGAGATGGCTTTCTCTGTTACCTTTACACTAGTATCCTTCTAGTGAAGGTCCGAAGATCTTGTATAAGATTCTTATCTCTGATAAGATTATAAAGCTCCAGAGTTCGATTTCCAGTACTTAGTTCATGAAGACTC